TCGACCATATGTTAGAAGCCCCTAAAATATGTTAGAAGCCCCTTTATGTCCAAATCCATTTTGAAGATCTCGGTTTTGAAATTATATCACGGAGCACTGCCCAGATATTACCCTTAGCATTTAGACCAGGGACATTTGCCCAATATGTACGCACTCCGTCGTGATGTTAGTTGTTGTGGTCCATTTTAACTCTAATTATAAGTGGTCCATTCTACCCGCTGTCCTAAACTCTAACTTTATGCGAGATTTCGTGTCCTTTGGTTTTTATTTGTGACTTTTATAACGGCTGCAAAATCAGCAAATTTTTAGCTGTTGGTCCAATTCAACCCCTAAACATAGCGGACATCTTTGAAAACAATCTGATCCTAACCCCACCCTTGCGAAAATGTTCGTGAGGATGGGACAATAATTGCAATCTGCAATCAGCCCTAAGCTCTAGCCCCATACTAACTTCCGCTTCGACTGGTCTATAATTGCGACATGTAGAGCAACTGCAAAATCAGAAAATTTTTCAGTTTTTGGTCCATTACAATAGGCTTCTATTCTGGCTCTAGCCCCACCTCCCTTCTAAATTTCGTGAAGATCGGGCCATAATTGCGACCTGTAAAGTGATTACAAATTAGTATGGACAGACAGACTCAGATCGGCGAGATAGGAAAATCCATATGTACTTTTCGTTGTGGGAAACCAATATTTCGAGGTGTTACATAATTTTTGGCCCAATCAAACTTATAATGCCCCCACCACGTAGCGTTGTAGGGTATAATCAAAAAACCAAACTGCAAGTACTGTCTGTTCACCCAATACCAAATTGTACCCAATATAGTACTGTTTAGTAACTTTCGTGTTCTTGTAGAACAAATTTCCATATCCACAATACAAAATTTCAAACTTACTTTCCAACGTTGATTTCCAAACCAATTCAAGTTCTTAGCTCTATCCGTTCACATGTCAAAGATATACAAGTATAAAAATGGGACAAGGCAGAGCCAAAATATGGAAACCCTGTGAAAATACCTCTGTTGTGACGATATCGTAACAACATAGTTAGCAATGTTAAGCGATTTAAACCGCTTAGGCAATATGTAATTAATTGGGAAAGTCTATGGAATAGAATTTTGAAATCCTATTTTTAGGATTTTTCAAACTTTTATTTGTCCTTTTTTCTATAAATGTGGTTTTTATATAAACATGGTCCTGTCATGAGCTGTTATTCTAGATAGTATAGGCACAAACCATCTGCTCAGAATGCATTTTGTCTAGTCTTTACCATTTTAAGTCTTTGCACATGCTCGGTGACCTTAAAGTTCCAATTTCCAAAAACCCCTTTGGTGCCTCTATCCCGCACCCCATCGGTGATATTCATGCCAAATTTCAGAATTCTAGCTCATTCCGCTGGTCCAACCCTTTTAGTAAGAACTTCAAAAAAAAAAAAAAAAAAAAACGAACGTAGTCGTCATATATATATATATATATATATATATATATATATATATATATATATATATATATATATATATATATATATATATATATATATATATATATATATATATATATATATATATATATATATATATATATATATATATATATATATATATATATATATGTATATATATATATATATATATATATATATCAGACGACTACGTTCCAAGCCTGACCCTCGTGCAAAATATAAGATTCTAGCCAATTTCCTATTCGTAATTGCACCAACTTTAGTACTATTTAGTACTTTATGTGCACATTAGTATCACTTTCGAAATCTACTTACATATCTCAATCATACGCTCTGCCAGTAATAAGTACATGACCCTACTAAAATGAAATGTTAGTTGGAATAACTCATTTCCCATTGATTACAGATTATGGACCTTACTTTCTTTGGTCCTTGACAAATGTACCCTTCCCAACAACAGTGATAATAGCACGCCCCTGCCCGTAGCGATAAAACCAAATACACTTGAGAATGTCATACACACCCCTCTGTTTGTATTTGTGGTGGTGTTGGGTATTATTTATAACCCGACTAAAAAGCTATGGATGGGGGAGATGGACGGGGGTGGCTTCTGTATTCAATCAATTACACTAAATACCGCTAAATACTTTGGGTCGCAGAAAAACACATAAAACTTAATTCCAGATGGTCTACCGGACTGATTGTCTCATTAGTTGAGGGATTTATCGCTAAAATTATTTAAGACAACAAAATAAATTTGAGTAATAAATACGCTGCCGCAATAAAAGTGAAATTCAATTGTGATTACATTCGATATGGAGATAACATTATTAAATGGGGATATGATTTTTGGTTGTGAAGTAAAGACAAAGAGAAATGGCGCCCAAAATTTGATATCGGAAAGAATATGTATATGTTGAATAACAACAGCTGGTAGATTGAGATAAATAAATTTGAGAAAAATAGTTTATATGGCGAGAGCGTATTTTGGTTTTGTCCAGATCTCAATTCATGTGTTTTCAGCATCACCCATTAGCTGTGTACGTGTGTGTGTATGTATCTCCAAATAAAAGAAAACAGCTGTACAGTTTTACAGCTGATATTAGTGAGGCTGCGTATTTAAGGAGGCATAAAAATTATCTGAAGCAACAGGTTTAAGTCCTTGAAAAACAAATCTCAATGAATCATGTGTTTTCATTATGCCAGGATGTTATGAATGAACATTTACAAATGTTACCATCAAATTACAAATTACACGTGACAAAGTTGTTTATCTTAACAAGAACAGCTGTTCGTTGACAGGGTGGGAAAAATATAATTTGTATACAAACATTTATTCTCAACCTTGTCTATATAGAGTACTAGCTGGCCCGATCTGCTTTGCCGGCCCGTACTTTTTTCACTAAATACCGCTAAATACTTTGGGTCGTAGAAAAACACATAAAACTTAATTCCAGATGGTCTATCGGAATGACTGTCCCTAATGCATATTTTTAAAGCATAATAACTCACAGATCTGACTTATGTAGGCGGCAGGAATGACACCAGAGTAATTTCTAAATAGAAATAAATATTCATGGCAAAAATTATAATAGATGTTCACCTACCGTCGGTTTTAAATATTTTCAATAGCCTGATCATATTTTTCAGCCATAGGCTTTTATTTGGTTGTTAAAAACCTATATTATATATATCATTTTTCACATGGGGCTGGAAAACCACAAGTGGCTATCGTTAGGGCACTCCAGCACTTAAATGTGAATAAATCTTTTGTGTCTCGTACCATAGCTCGTTACCGTGATACTGGTAGCGTAGCCCGACGTCAAGTGAAAACAGCAACATCAGCAGAAATGGTTCGAAAAGTAAAGAAGCGACTTGGTCGAAACCCACGTCACAGTGGCCGAAAAATGGCTCGTGAGCTGAACATATCGCAATATTCCATTCGGCAAATATTGAAAAATGAGCTCGGGGTAAAGCCATTGAAATACCAAAAAGTGCAAGAACTACGGTGTAAGGCAGAAAGAAAATATACTCAAAAGCGCTAAAGAGTTGCTTCGCTTGGCCGAAAGTGGTGAACTGCCGAATTGATTTTCTCCGATGAGAAAACATTTGTTTCCAGCAGTTTGTAAAAAAAACAAAATGATCGTTTTTACTTGCCAAAGAGGTCAGCTTGAAATGTGCACCTTTAGTTGGCCACCAGATCTCAAGCGCCGGCCACGGTGATGGTGTGTGTCGCCATAACAGCCGATGGTCGCTCTCTGCTCGTATTAATCGACCGCAGCTTCAGAATAAAAGCCGAATATTATCGCGAAAATATTCTGGAGGGTGTATTATTTTGGCCGCAGACCTTGGACATTTCTACAGGACTCAACACTCATCGCTTTCAACAGGACTCAACACTCATTGCACTCAGCACGCGCCACCCAAGAATGGTTACAAAATGAGGTTTCTCGCTGTAGTTCCAGCGCACAATGGCTACAAAAATCTCCGGATACCAATCCATTGGACTATTGTGTCTGGAATATTTTGGAAAGCAAGGTAGGCATTAAAAAATACCAAAGTGTCGATCACCTCAGCGCTTCGCCGGGAATGGACCAAAATACCGCAGAGCAACATTCGGGCAGTGTGTGACGTTTTCATTGGCCGTTTGAAGGTCATAATTCGTGCCAAATCTAAACTTATTCTAAAATTTGATGCTATTTCCGACATTTTTTGCTTTCATTCAATAAAATTAAAAAAAAATGTAAAAATTATGGCGTTTGACTCTGTTGCAGTTTTTCAACAGATATTTCAAATTTGTTCAATACAATATATTTAATTTTAATACATTTTAGTATTTTTCGTACCCTTTTTGTATGAATTTCAGAAATCCAGTGCAGTGAAATCAAAAATAATTGGACTCTTCAAAATACAAGAACAGACAGATGGACTGACATGCATTAACGTACTGAATATGTGATTCTATTCTGATCGCAAAATTGAACTCATAACCATTTTCAAACTTCAACTTTTGCAACCGTTTCACACATTTTACATTGTCATTATAGAACTTTCTTTAAAGTGTTCCATTAATGTGTGGAACTTGAATCTCTCACACAGGGATAGACTCCCTTTATATCTTTTCCTCATATCCACCCCCATCCCACCTGCTCCTAGTTCATCTTAAAACCGGCAATCATTTATGAATTTTAATTCTCCATCCCTAACGGCTTACTCTCTTCACACACACACACATCATCTTTCTTTCTTATCTCTCACTTCGCATCACATTGAAGTAAATAATTCAGAATTTAGTTTTGTTCAGAAATTTATTAAATTAGAAAATCTAAGTTTAGTTTTCAAAATAAAAGCTAAATCCAACTAAAAAGAAACCAGCCCTAAACTTTTTCTCAGAACAAGAAGTAATGAAAAAATATTGACAAACTAAACGATGCTTCCATAAAATGGCCTCCGATTAGTCAACAATATTTTGAAGGTTGTTATTAACTTGCTTTAAAACAATTTTCAAAATGGCCTTAAGTGTTGATGTTTTTATATAAAAAAAAATAAAGTGTCTCTGTGAGTTGAGTTGAATTTGGGCTGGATTTCTTTAGAGAAGGCATTTTCAATCTTTCAAGTTAAAACTTTGGCTGTGGAAAGGGGGTAGTAGTGATTGAGTTTATGACGGATGGATGGATGGAGGACAGTGTTCGTTGCGAGTGTTGCCTTTGTTGTTGTTGCTAAAAAGCCTTAAACGAATTTGCTAAACCAAACAACATGTCGGGGGAGTATTTACACCTTGCCTACACCTTTCTTATTATTGTTGTTGTTGCTTTGTTTTTGTTGTTTTTAGGTGATCTTTTTCACTTTATCAGTTTTTATTATATAAATGTATTTTTAATTTAATTATTTCTTTCGCTTTTAAAAAAATGAACAACAGAATAATTTTTTAAATTTTTTCTTCTTTTTTTTGAGTTTTTTTTTCAGTTTTGTTTTTCATATATAAGTTATTTTATAATAAAATATGGTTTTCTTAAGATTTTTTTGGTTTATTTTTCTTAAAAAATATATATTAGATTTAGAAAAAAATGAAAACTAATAGCCATTGCTGTTCGTGTTGTTGTGGCAAATTAGCTTGGACTTTTTTGGATGTTGCTGAAGTCCTGTTTCAATAATTTTCAATTTCTATGTTGGTGTTTTTCTTTTGCTTTTTTGTTTGCATTTTAATTAATTTAATTAAATTATTTTTGTTTTATTAAATTATTACGAGAGAGAGTATTGATGGTTTGTTTTTATATTTTTTTTTTTGGATTTTGCTTCGAATAACATCTATGGAGAATGGTGGTAGCTACAGATTTTTAACAGATGGTCAATAAAAATTTATAGCATATCGGGTCTGTCGCACATTCTGGCAAGAAATGCTGTAGAAAGAGAAAGGAGAAAAAAGAAAAAAAATGATTAGATAACTTATACAGGCATTTTTAATTTTCAATTATTGCTGGAAAGTTATCTAGAACATATAACATGGAATATAAATATGAAGATATAAAAACGTTCCTTTTCCGAAACAGTTATATAAAATACCCATCAAATGAATGAATCCTATTTCAGCTCGCCTTTTATTTTGTCGATATAGATTCCGTGCCAGTTACTCCAATTTTTTACCCCACACAAAGTCACTTCTGTTCAACTTTATGAAGATTCCCCTAAACTTTAGAGACTCATTTCAGCTCGTCTAGGATACTCCCTTATCCCTATTACGATTCTTCTCGGATCGTTCATGACTCTAACTCTTTCCTCTCTTTTTCGGATTTCCTTAAAGTGTCAATTTGAGTCTCCCTTTTACTTAATCTTCATATACTCGTTTAAAGACTAATTTCAGTTCATCTAAAATATTCTTTACCGCTCTCAGATCGTTCATGGAGAGAACGTCTCCTTAGTTTTTCTGCTGCCTTGTCTTCAAAACTAGTTTAAAGGTTAATTTTGGCTCATTTGAAATACTCCCTCTCAGATCCTCAAGTAAGAAAACCTCTTTCAACTCGTCTATAAAGATTCTTTTTCAGACTTCCGATAAAGAATTCATCTTATTGCTCCTTTTACCTCATCCTCAATTACTCGATTAAAGACTAATTTCTGCTCGTATAAAATGCTGCCTCGTCTCTTTCAATTTGTCTATAAATATTGCTCTCAGATCGTTCATAAAGAGGACTTTTTTCAACTCATCTTTAAAGACCCCCTTTGAGACTCGTTTTAGTTGGTTTTAGTTGGTCCAAAAGGAAACCATTTTAATTGGTCCACAAATACCCCTAACAATCACCTTATAAAGACTATCTTTTGGATTTTCTGCTGAGATTAATCTATTTAAGATTCTGTCATCCCCTCTCATATATTTAAAGCTTGTCGTTTTTTGATATCGCTTGATCCTTTCAGGTACCTAAAACTCTCTTACTTTCTCTTTTTCCTTTACCTAAAGAAAATTGTTCACCATGAATTTTCCTTTTTTAAAATCGTCTTATTCTTATCTATAAAAGTTCTCTTCCTAAATTCCCTCTTTTGTTTATGAATACCCTTTAATTGTAGATATCGTTTATTACTTCTTGACATAAAAAATGAGAAAACACATAGAAAACATAGGGAGATTTGTGGATAAACATTTGATATTTCGGGATTTTTCTCAGATCAAAGGACCAAATTAATTTTCGGGTCAATTTTTATTTTGTTTTCAATTCATATACCAGCAATTTTTACCCGGAATAGCTTTCTCGCAGAAAGACAACTTACCGTTTAGTCGAAGACAACGGGATCGCTCATCAATCTTTGGACGAATTCTGTGGTGGGTGGTAGGTAGGTGTGCACATAACATTTTCGGATACGGTGGGGATATACGTCAAGGATTATTGTAATGGTTGGGGTGTGTAAAATGGTAATTGTTTTTTTTTCGTGTGGAAACGGGAGCATAAAAAACAAGTGCACACATATAAATATATGGTTACAAGACAAATAGTGCCAGGTAAATACAAGACATGATGGTGCCAGGTCACAAAAGATATCACAAATACATGAAATTACAAAAAAAGATACAAATTTTAGGAAACAAATACATTTTAAACATAATACAATATCCTTGAAAGGACAAATGAAGAAGGATAGAGACGGACAGACAGAGAGAAAAAAGAAAAAAATATTTGTTGAGAAAAAAACTTACGGGAGTATGGGATCATGCCATCATCATCTTCAGGGTCCAAACAGTCAGCGAAGAGGGTCTCGACTTGTTCATCTTCAAGATTTTCACCTGAAATTCGTTGTGGAATGGAAATGTGTTATGACATTCCATTGAGAGCTTTATAGTGACAACTTACCCAAAGAAAGGAGGGCATGTTGCAATTCAGCCAAGAGCATGGTGCCGTTTTCTTGTTTGTCGTACAATTTCAAACATTCAATGAAATCTTCGTAGCAACCTTGTTCCTTTTCCTTCTTGACTTGAGAGTAGATGGGAAGGAATTCATCGAATTTGATCATTTTCAATTTGCGTTGCTTGGTACCGCCCATCTTTTCAATCAAAGCCAAGGTGGGGTTCAAGTTGAGGGCACGAAGGGCATCACCCAAGTCGTAGGCATCGATACCATCGGGACCACCCATAACTTCGAATACGAATTCGATATCTAGAAAAAGTAAGTGAGGGAATTTATTAATACCATCTTGTTAGGAGGCACAATTAAAGGGGTATAAATTTAAATCCGTTGCTTTGAAAATAGCATTATGCAGTTTTTTTGAAAAGTATTTGAAATTTAGGTAGTTTCTATAGTTTGAAAAAAATAGTTAGTTTTCAGTGAGATTTTGCAATGAAGGCAGTTTTGAAGATTTCGAGAATGATAATGACATCTAAAATAAACTGATATGCCTTTTGCTCTGGAGATTTATATTTTATTCAAAGTTGTACTTAGTTTCATGAAAAATATCATTCAAAGAGCATTTTGAAAGAATTTTAAGTCATGAATCCTATAGGCCGGACAAATACAGACACAAGTGCTCTCTCAAGACGCTAGGAACATTTTGAAGATGGTCTAATGGAACAAACATTCTTTATGTGTACATGAATGGAATGCAATCGAATGGAATATTTCTTGCATAGAAAACCCCATGAATTCAAATCTGACTCTGGGTCAAGAAGTCCTTATCCCAGCCCTGTTTCTGAAAAACTCGAAACGAACGAATTTGAAACAATTCGAAATTGTTTGTAAAAGATGTTAGTCTTTTGTTTACCATTTTCCAAATTAGAATTTAAGAATAATAAAAAGATTTTACAAATTGCAAAAGTTTAATATTTTTCATTGTTTACAAGCATATAATTTAATTTTTTTCTAAAAATATATTTAATTGTTTTGTCATCGAATGCCATTACAATTTTCTTTTTTCGTAAATTTAAGATAACATCGAAAATTCGCATTCTTTTTTAATGACAGTGAAAAAATATATGTAAAACAAGTGTTTAATTTGAAATATATTTATCTGTTTTACCATCAAAATCCACTAGAATATTTTTTCGATTTAAGAAAAAAAAAATTTTTTTTTCGAAATTTCTCATTTTTTTAATGGCAGTGAAAAAATATTTTTGAAATACATTTTATTGCCTCCCCCATTAATTGTTTTTTTGAAATGTATGTATGCATATATTATTAATATTATTTGTATATATTTCTTCAAGTATTATGTCATATATACATACACACATTTATACATTTTTGTGTTTTTTGTTTGTGGCAAAGCTTTTAACACATATACACCCAAAAGAAATTCGAAACCTAAAATATTTAAAAAAAAACCTTCTCAACATACGCATGGATATACGTATATGCTCATTCTATTTGTTTTCTATTTGTGTGTGTGAAGATTGTATAGCTGACCGAAGCATACATTCCTGAGATCTAGTCAAACATTGAGAGTGTGTATATACATACACAAAATGAATATATCCCAAAATAGAATTGCGTTTGGCCAAAACCCACACATACACACTCGTACAAGTACGAAATGATCTTTCACAATCGTTTAAATTCGTATTTTCTTAACGTCGAGTGTTCTATATGTGCCCATGATGGTCTAAAGGCGCTTTGTATATATGTTATTCTCTATGGCGTACTGAGAGAAAACTGTATCGGATCCTCTCAATTGTTTATCATGAATTTCTTCTCTCTCGCCTTTGCTAACAAAGAGTTAATATGTGTGATTTGTTGTCATGAAATCGTTTTTTTTTTTTTTTTTTTTGGGCGAGAACTTCTGTTTTTTATACTATGTATACATAATGTGTATTGAAACTATTTCGAAAATTTCAAATACAACAACAAAAACAATTTCAAAATTTAATTTAAAAATAGCAAACGTTTCATTCGTTTCAATAAATTTATTTTACTTAAGTTGGGTAAATTCAAAATTTAATTGGCAAGCAATATGATTTTTTACAATCATTTTCTTCCTGTGTTGAAAAGTAATATTAAAAATTTATGATTAGCAAAAAGCTTTAAGAGGACAACAAACCATTATTTTGATTTGCTTATTTAGTTAACTTTTTGTAATAAAATGATAACAGCTATAGATCTTATCGCCCAATGGTTAAAACCTATAGATTATATTATCTTCATTTAATTCGAGTTATTTTTACGATTTATTTATATAATTTTCCTCACTACCAATACCAATAATTTTCCTAAATTATTTGTTTACTTATTAAAAATAAATGCAGTTATTGGTCCCCCTCAGTGTGATTTTGATAATTCTATTAATATCTATTTTATTGTTATATTCTTCGTTAGTTACTTGACCTAATTTTCTCTGTTGCTCTGACTATGACCTTGACAGTTATCGATGTTATCGAAAATAAAAACAGTGTGCATTTGTAGTTGTTGTCCTACAAATGATTTATTTTATGTATCGTTTTTATATAAAATTTATTTTTTTTTAAATGTACCCAAATTATTGTCTTCTGTATATCGATAACATTCGATAATTTAATATCATAAGAAGTATTTACTATTTTGCATAATATTCTTTGAAAATTATGAGAAACGTGTATCTGTTTCCACAAAATGCGATTTATCGAAAGTTATCGAATTGCTGAATTCAACGAAAACTGTAATTTTATTTAAACGCTTAAGAGCATGTTTCGGCTTCTCAATCCATTCGATTTCAAATGTCAATTCGTCACTTGTATGTATACATAAATCCAGTGGATATTATTTGACGTAGAAGCTATGGAATTGACATTTGAGATCGAGTGGAATTCGGAAATCTAAACCTACTTTTACACTAATACCATATCCATTTCCATTGAGTATGTGTCAAATGAGATCCCCTGGATTTAAGATTTGGCGAATTGACATTTCAAATCCATTGGAGTTAAAAGTTCTGTTCCAGAACTGCAAGAATGTAAAAGTTTTTACACTAAAACCGATTTTCCCTTTATGATATCGAACAATTGCAAAACTAGCAGATTCTTGCAGGTTCTGGAATAGAGCAAATATATGTATTGCTTATGAATAATGCCAGTTTCAAATTCATAAGAACTATACAGATATATGTGATATAAATAACTTCAATTATTTTCAATAATTCATGTTTTATCCTTTTTTAGTTATTTTCCATCTAATTGCTCTAGAGCCATGTTTATTTTCTAATCGTTATTTTCCATTAATTGAACCAAAATGTTCAAAATTAATCATAAACTGGTTCATGATTACCTCATTATCACTTGATATGCTCCAGAACTGCAAGAATGTAAAACTTTTTACTGCAATGACCGAATATGACCATATGATATCGAAAAATATTGCAAAATTAGTTGATTCTTTCAGGTTCTGCAGCTGATCAACTGTTAAGAGCATCAATGAAAACGCAGCATCAATGTAGATAACTTAGTTTCCGATTCAATAATAAAATTCATTATCGAAGCAACCGAAATTTATCGCTCTAATTTCTCTTTGTGCTGACTACGCCCACGTTACTATTATAACCTAAAAAATGAGCATCAATTTTATTTCGAAAGCTCAGTTAGCTTTTAACAATTTGAGAACTAAATTTGGATGCTTGAAAAGGTAACATTATCTTATCTCTTGGGGTGATGATTAATGCCTTATGACCTAGGATACTCAAGATATAGCAAAGGCATTGACTAATATAAAGTAAGTACACTAAGAGGTGTTAACCTGTCATGGGAAATCTAATATTTTGAAGTCTAATATTTAAAGCCAAAAAAATATTTCAAAATTAAAGTTAAAGAAATTTGTTATTTTGTGTTGTGTTTTTGATCTAATTGCTTTTTCAAAGCCCAATATGCTCCCACACATTGTGTATATGTAAACCAATCCATATTTGGTTATTGAAACTTGCATGTGAACAAAAAAAAATCACCATGGGTTATAATATTCATTCCATTTGGTTATATCACAGTTCCGATATTTTAGATTTATCTTCATTATCAGCTCATTTCTTTTTAATTTAAATATTTATTTTTAGTTATCCACTTTTAAACAGATTCTTAATGTTTGCTTGGTTTTCGTGTATTTTTTTGTAGATTTATTGAAGTTTAAAAATAAATCAGCAACTTTTTGAGGTTAGAAACGTATGACTGCATAATGACTATTTTATCAAAGCTTTTGTATATCCCCTGGATTTCCTTCAATTTTTTTATGAAAAAAACTTACTTTCTTGTTCACGCTTTGGTACATCGGCCTGCAGAAGAGGTTGGTGTTGGAATCAAGTTGGTACATTGACGGTGATGATGAAGGAGAAGAAAAAAGTAGTTATAAGTAAATTGAACATTTTAAAGATATTTTTTTCAATTTTTTTTAATTTAATTTTTTCGATTTTCAGTTTTCACAATTATTTTATTTTATACGTTTTTTCCATTTTTTTAAACTCTCTATCTGTTTTTATTTGTTCCTGTGGTATATTTTCCACAATTTCTTTTTTTTTGGTGTTTTATTTGAAAACTAGAACACTTTTTTGACACAGCCAGACACTCACCATTTTGACTGTTTGTTTGAGAAAAAGCAACTAACTCGCGGATGAGCTCGGTCTCGACTGAACACTTTTCGTCGCCAACAATTTGTAAAGGTAATTCTAAGGTGGATTCTTGGCAACAAATACAAAGGCAATAAATGCCAATATACGAAACACACACAAATACAAACACTTACACAGGCGCACAACATCAGCCATTAACTCTGTGCACCGATTTTCGAATTCCTCGGATCAGTTCGCCAAACATGCAGGAAAAACACACACTCTCATACCCATGTATGATGATTTTTCCACTAGTATATAACATGACGAAATCTCTTTTTGAAGAACCTCGCATATATTCTCTCAAACACACAAATGCATACGAAGGGAGAAGGGGGGGGGGGGAGGAATATGTCTCTTTACTTGTTAACTGTGAACACGTAATCGCAACTATATGTACCAAACATTTTGAGAGCGCGAGAGAAGAAGATCTTACTCATACGCAAAATGCCCGGCCAACACATGGACCCAACAGCATCCCAAAAATACCACAATCGATGATCATAGTTGGCCGCTCAGCATGTAGAGAAAGAATTTTCAAATTTCTGTTTCTTCATTCTATTCGCAGAAGTCTAGGAAAATAGAAAGACAGAAAATAATGCCAAGAAACAACATGGAAAGCAACCGCCTGTTGTTCGCTGATGGGGAATTGTTTAGGAGGTAATCTCCCATGGCACTTTCATTAGGTAGGGGCGGAAAGTGAGGGGATTGATAATAAAGGCTGGGTGGTTACACACACACACACACCCACACATATGTACATATGCTGGCAACACAAGTATGTACGTGGATATTTTGGGCCATCTATTCATGCCACCACCTCCACCTTGCATGAGTCGGTAGTCGCCTGTATGTCAGTCAGTCAGCCAGCCAGTCATTCAATGTTGTATTGTTGCTATTCTTATTGTTTTATTTTTGCCTTTTTGGCTTTTTTTCATTTTGCCTACTCTACTATTTGATCTATTTTTGTAGTATTCACCTCTTCATGGTTCTCTCGGTGTTATTATCATTATCATTATTGTTGCGTTTGTTGTTGTTATTGCCACTGTTCTACGTAAAATAATTTTGTGTATATTTCTTCTCTTAAAGAATTCATCGTTTTTCTCCGTTCTTTTCTTAGTTTTCGACCCAAACAGTGTTGAATATCATTCGTCTTCAACATTCATTTTGCAATACATATTTTTGTTCTTCTTTCCGCCATATTGTTTATTTGTGAAAAATTCTATAGATTTCACAGAAATTTTCAAATAATTTCAAATTTTCATGACCCTGTCTTCATAGTCGTTCGTTCATTTCGAACAGTTGAGGGATATTCATTGGTATTGTTTTTTTTGCATTTTTATTATGCGTTTGCCAAAGTTTTCAACTGAAACAAGAAGAAAAATAAAATAATGAAATGGAAAATTAGAAACACACATACATTTGTTTATATTTAGCAAAGGCTAACGGAAATATTGAAAATGTTAACTTAAGTAGTAAAATAAATTTGAATTATATCTGACATGAAATTTTATAAGAGCATTAATTCTAACCTACATTTTTTTAATGCTCAGTCAGAATATTGGTAGGTTGGAATGTTTATTTTAAGAATCATTTCATTAATTTACGGTAGCGTCTACACAAGATTATCTATTTGATTTTTCTCCGATACAAAATGTTGTGAAATCTCTATAACTCTTTTGGAACAAGGTTTTGCACTCGCAGAAAGGTGCCTGATAGTGTCCTCTTTCAGTCTACATATAGTTTTGCCTGTCAGTGTAGCCCGCTTAACACTTTTTATATATTATATATTAATTTGTCATTCTGTTTGTAACACCTCTAAATATTCGTCATAGATCCCATAAAGTATTTCTAAAAATTGGTATTGTAGTTCTTTACCGTTCCAGTGGCAGAACATTGTATATATCGGTCCACGTTTTCATATAGCCCCTATATAAGGGCAACTTCCGATATTCGGTATTTTGATAATTTTTGCCACATTTTTTCACGGGTATGTCTAAAAATGTTATTTGTTGTTTGCTATGGGTTCCAGCTTCAGTGACAGAATATTGGTTATATAGGCCCACGTTTTCGTATAGCACACATATAACGATACTTCCCGATTTTCGCCATATTTAAGCCACATTTATAATTGATTTGTGTGAAATTTGGTATTTGTACTTCATAATGAGTTCTACAACCGGTGTCAATTCACTGTCCATATTGGTCAACGGTTTGGGTTTTTGATATATAAACTGAAATTCAGTATTTTGATAATCCTAGTCACATATACCCACGAAATTATGTCAAATATCATATTTAAGACTCGCAATAGATTATAATCTTTGTAGTATAAAATTGTCTATATAGGCTCCCGTTTTGGTATGGCCCCTACAAAACGGCTCCAACCACTATATTGTTTTTTGAAAACCCTAACAGCATTCTCCTACCGATCTTAATGGAGTTTGTAGTTTTAAATGGATGTCTTTTTACTAGTATAATTTATTGAAATTACCCATGAAAACATTTATGTTTTTCCTTATCGTTCTGCCTGCATGCACATGCAGCGGTGCGGTACAGTTAGGAATTTAAACAAGTAAAAAAGCTGTAAGTTCGGCCGGGCTGAACTTTGAATACCCTCCACCATTTGGTAGAAATTTAACAATTTTCAAAAAAAAAAAACAGTGAAGAAAGTCCTAAAGTCGGGCGGGGCCGATTTTATGATACCCTACACCACTTTGCTAATTTAGTTGAGCTCCACTTATTAATTAAAAGTTTTTATGGGAGAATTCAATCATACACGCTATGATTATAATTATAATTTAAAATTCAAAGGACTAAATATGCCGAAGCATTTGTATCTTTTAAATTCGGACTAGTATTGCCCATTTGATGCAAAATTAATTTGAAATCAGATAAAGATATATATGGGAACTATATCCAAATCTGAACCGATCTCGATAAAATTTAGCAAAGGTATTTCTGAGCTGCATTTGATATATTTCCCCAAATATTGTTGTTACAGAGTGCATATTACGGCTGCGGAGGACAAAAATAACAAATCGGTTAAACAATATATTTGGGAGCTATAGCTATATCTGAACCGATTTCGATCAAATTTAGCATACTTATTTTCAGCCCTAATTTGGTTGTATGTGCAAAATTCCATACTATTCGGGGTGATATTACACGTTGGGTGCACAATAAAAGGCAAATTATCTCCAATTTCAATAGAGTTCGTCCTTGGGCCAAACAAATTTTGTTTGCAAAATTTCATCTCAATCGAATAATAAATGCGACCTGCATTTTGTTCACAAGAATACATGGACAGACGGACAGACGGACTGACATGTATAAATCAACTCAGAAAGTGATTCTATGCAGATCATCAAAAGGAACTATGGGTCTATCTCGTTTCCTTTTGCCTGTTACAAACAAATGCACAAAGACATAATACCCTGACCACCTTGTGGTGTAGGGTATAAAAAATAAATAAATAAAATCCGTTAAAATTCTGTTAAAATCTTAAAAATACCGAATATAGCCATATATTAGGGTATATACGACCACTTGGACCTGCATAGGCAACTTTTGTCACAAGCTATTACAATATTCAAATGCGTGAAAAAAAAATCTGTTTATAATGTAGCTAAAATATTCAACGTACCGAATATAAGGAGGTACAATAGGAGATATAAAAAGTGGACCTGCACAGACAATTTCCTGTCATAGCCTGTAGTATCCATTACGAACTTCAAGTACCAAATTTTAAATAATTCCGGTAAATAATGTCGCTAAAATCATCAAAATACCGAATATCGGGGGGTACCGTTATATGGGGGCTATAAGAAGAAGTGGTCCTACATGGCCCATTTTCTGTTTTGTGCTGTAGTATCTATTACGAACTTTAAATACCAAATTTGAAACAATTCCGGTAAATAATATCGCTGAAATCATCAGAATACCGAATATCGGGGGGTACCGTTATATGAGGGCTATACGAAGAAGTGGACCCACATGGCTCATTTCCTGTTTTATGCGGTAGTATTTATTATGAACTACAAATACCAAATTTGAAATAATTCCGGTAAATAATGTCTCTAAAATCATCAGAATACCGAATATCGCGGGGTACCGTTGTATGGGGGCTATACGAAGAAGTGGACTTACATGGCCCATTTTCTGTTTTATGTTGTAGTATCTATTACGAACTTCAAATACCATATTTGATACAATTCCGGCAACTAATGTCGCTAAAATCATCAAAATACCGAATATCTGGAGGTACCGTTATTTGGGGACTATACGAAGACGTGGACCAGAATGACGTGGACAGAATGACGTGGACCTACATGGCCCATTTTCAATACCAAAAGTCCTACAGACATAATACACATTTGAGTAAAATTTTAATAACCTACTTCATTTCGCTCGGAAGCTAGAGTGAATCTCACAGACAGACAGACGGGCGGACATTGATAAATCGATATAGAATTTTATGCTGATCAAGAATATATATACGTTTATGTATATTTCGAGGTGTTACAACAGAATGACAAACTTAATATACCCTCCATACTATGGTGGAGGGTATAAAAATATTATTAAATTATTATATTTCATCAACACAACTTCATTTCATGAAAGCAACTAAATTTAATTTTAAAAGGAAAATCGGGAAACAAATAACGAGGTCGTCAGTGGTGTGAAAACAAAAAGTTGCAGTTGAATGTCAATTAGTGCTTACTGGCACTAAAGCTTCATCCAGCTGCGTTACATGTCGGACCACATCAAGTAAGTTAAACGAAGTCCCCGATGTCACCACTATCCACAAGAATACGGTCTATGGAACATATGCTTAAAATCTTTTATCTTCTATACATATAAAAGAAAGTTATGTTAGTTACGACGCTTATAACTCAAGAACGGCTGATCTAATTTTGACGATTCGACCAATTCGAGAAAAAGAAACAGTAAGGAAAAGTTTAGAGAAGGGCGGGGCCGACTGGGTATCATACAAAAACAGTTTATATTGACAATTTATATGAAGTAGATTATTCCAACTATGAAACTTATTAGAATGCGTATTATGGCTTTAGAGTAGTCACA